TGTATCTAATCTTACTTGTTTAGGCATATTTAATTAGAGTTATCTAAGATTGTGGTGTTCCACATACCCGTAGTTTCTATTTAACATCTGAAGTTTTGTCTGCACCCTTAAGTCCCTGCAGTGTTCCAAAGTTTCTGACATGTTCAAATGTAAAAGAGTGGTGAAGGTAGAGTTTACAGTTTTAGAGGAGTTTCTCCTTTGTTGACAATATGAAATTGAGACTGAACCAATGATGTAAACTGCTGAGATCAAAGGAAGAATTTTGCATGGATCTCTTCAGCTTGTCATTTGTTGCTAGAAATATCTGATCCAAGAGTAAGCATACTTGGTAGTATACAAACAGGGTTATGAATTATGTAATGAATTTGGTAGACTGAGATTGACATGGGGATATATATATATTCACCAGATGTTAGGAAGTAAAAGATTAAGAAGAATGTGGACTAGATTTTCAGTAACTGAAGGATGAGGTTTTAGCTTGCTTATATCCCTGGATCTCCCTTACTCATGCTTCATTTTAGAGCTGGTGTCTTCTTCACCTGAACTTCATGTATATGAAGAATAAGAGAATGGGTGTGTGTGTGTGTGTGTGTGTGTGTGTGTGTACCTGTGTTACACAATACCATAAGATTGTGTAATGCATGGTATACACATAAGATTACATAACAGTGAAGTATTTATCTTTGTGTCAGAACTGCTCTCTTTTCTATGGATGCTTATTTTATCTGTTTCATGTTACTTATATAATCCACAGAGAAAAAGGCTATATATGAGTTAGGGCTGAAAATAGTAAAATCTGACTTCATCACCATGTGCAAAGTTATTTCTGATAACAACTTCAGTAGAGAGGCCCAATTGATGGGCCTAAATGTACTTTAATTTTTGTGTGATGAATGAATCCTAAACTGGCTATGCAAATCAATTTGCTAAAATTCCACTGCCTAGTTGAATTTCAAGGAGGAAAACTTAAGCCTGAAACTCACTCAAGAGGTTTTGAATTTGTGTATATTTGAGGGTAGGAGATTATTTCTCCCTGCTTCTCTGGGGAACAAATCATCACTTTTTCCCAGTGTATATTTATGAAACCAGAATGCTAGATCCAAAGTTTCTAAAACAGTAGGGCAGGCTTGTAATGAAAACTGGAATCTTTTAAAAGGGGGTTTTAGGTACGCTCCTTTCTATGAATAAAAGATTCCCCTTAAGCCTTTGTGGCCGAAGATAAGGCATCTTATTCCAATAATACCATTCTTGTTCTTTCTTTTTAAAAGTGCTTTTAAAGAGCAATTTGAAAGGACTTCACTTAAATGTGATTAACAGGTTGATTTTATGCATTTCATTAATGCAGTTAGGTTTTGACACTTACCCCGGATGAGCATTTAGTGCAGTGGTTAAGCTGCTTTGTGGGACACCTGCATATTGCTGAACATTTCATGCAGGCATGAATGGCTTGTGCCTCGGCCCCAATCCCAGTTCTTGCTTCCTATTAACGTGCATTTTGGAAGTCAGCAGATGATGGCTCAAGTACTAAGACCCCTTCATTCATTTGTGAGACTCAGATTGAATTGCAAGCTCCTGCCTTCCACCAGGCACAGCCCTTTCTTTGCAAGCATTTGGGGAGTGAACAAGTGGATGAAGGATCTTTGGATTTCAAATAAATAAAGTAAATAAAAAATGAAAAGAAGAATTACAAAATAATCGTTTAGCCTAGTGGCTAAGATGCCAGGTAGGGTTCCCATTACCAATATCAGAATGACGGAGCTCACTGAGTTCAATGCCCACCAGCTCAGGCTCTTGACTCCAGCTTCCTGCTAATGCAGATCCGGGAAGTAGCAGAAATGGTTCAAGTGATTGGGTTCCTGCCACCCATGTAGGAGACCTGAGCTGAGGTCTCAGCTTCTGGCTTTAACCTCAGCCCAATTCCAACCACAGCGAGCACTTGGGGAATGAACTGGCAAATGGGAGCTTTCTTCCTATTCTTTATCTCTGAGATGTAGAAAGTGCCAAGAAACTGCAGTGAAAGAAAACCTGGAGAGCGGATCAAGCAGCAGAGAAAGCAGTGACATGGAAGTCAATGGATGGAGTTTGAATATCAATTTACTGCAACCACGTTGGAGACCAGGAAGAGGCTTCTGGCTCCTGGCTTCTAGCTTCAGATTGGCTCAGCCCAGGTTGTTACAGTCACTTGGGGAGTGTACCAGTGGATGGAAGAACTATCTTTCTGTCTTCTTTCTGTAAATCTAAATTTCCAGTAAGAGTAAATAAATCTTAAAAGAAATGCTAAAACTAGAAGAAGAAATAACTTGTTTAGGAAAGTGAAAATTTAAGAAGAAAATTCAACGTCATATTGGTTGACACAAGCAACACAAAAAATATATACATACATATATAGTATACCTTTAGAACTGAAAAACCACTAACTCAGGCAATGAATCTGTCAAGTATACCAGACAGAATATTTCATATAACTGTTTGTAATTAGTGATTGCTTTAAATCACTAATAGCTGTTTTAAGATATAGTCTGCTTGCTTCTTTCTTCATCTGAATAATGTAAAATATATAAATGGTGCATTTAGGATCACTAGTGTAGGAAAAGAGAGCTTTTGTTGGTATATGACAAGGACAATGTCAAAGATTAATCTGATACATTTGACAAAAGCTTTAGCTGTGTCTTTCATATGCTCAAGGACAGTAAACCACTAAAATAATTCCATTATGCCCCCAAGTAATGTTTCCCTCCAAATAACATGAAGGCCATTTCTGTTTCTGAGATGAGAGGGAAAAGCTGGTGCCATGACTTCTACTGGTTCCCAAAGAAGGATTCCTGGCATCTCCCTTTCCTATGCTCCCTTGAGACCTGCCTACCAATCTTTGCAGGGATTTAAAAATACAGTTGGCATAATATTTCTTAAATATTATGCATTATTATTTCTTTTTATGCATTACTGACCAGTAGAGCAACCCATTAAATTTGCATCTAGTGTTTTATCAGTCAGTTCTTTATACTCTTTGCAAAAGGCTTAGGCATTATTGGCTATTTTAATAAAGCAAGTAGTTTTGTTCCCATATATTTTGAATACAACTAATTTTTGTACACATAAATTTCCCAATGATCACAAAGTAAGATTGGACAAAAAACCTGACTTATTGAGGTTTAGAGATTCATCAAGTAGTTGCATTAGAATAGATGGTAGGAATATTGATTGTCTGAAGTGGTGGACCATGGACTGACTCTAAGTTACATACAGAAAGTTGTACACTAGGAGCAAATTAATGCAGAGTTTGAGGACTCAAGGTCTGGTGGGTCTAAATAGCAGGAAAACGGATAGACAAAAGAGGTTTAAATGTGCGGGGCTTGGAGTAAAGATTTTAGAGAAATGTACATGTACAAGGTTCTTTAAAATTCTGGTAGAAAATTGAATTAAAATCCATTTATTTTGGTGTAAATTTTTTTGAGATCTACATGCAAAGAGTCTTCAGAAAGTTCAAGGAAAAACTGTAAGTATTTAATTTCTTTTTTGCACCAAAGTAAATAGATTTTAATTAAATTTTTTAAAGAACTATTTTAAGTCCTCTCATATTAGTTCTCATTTGCCATGTGGCAGTTTAAACACAATTTAATGGCCTAAAACAGCACGAGTCTAATACCTTATAATGAATTGGGTGATGAACATGGCTCAGCAGGGCCCACTTTTTAAGGACATTCAAAACTGTATCCAGGGCGTTCATTATATTGGTTTTTCACATGACGCCATGGCTGGGGAGCAAAACCACTTCTAGATGTATTCAGATTTCCTTTCCTTGCAGCAGCAGAACTGAGGGACCCTGTTTTTAGTGGATGTCAGCAGGGCGACACTCTCAGCTCCTAGAAGCAGCCCACAGTCCCTAGGTCTTGGCCACTCTTAAATGCTAGATGTCTCTGCCCCATGGACTCGCCCAAGAGGGCATTTTCTTCTTTGAGCCAACAAACAGTGACTACAGCAAGTCTGCCAGCAAATAGAGTCCTCCATAAATCAAGATACTCCAGGAAGTAGTGTTGCATCATCTTGGCCACTTTCTCTTGGTTCAGTGAGTCATAAGTCCTGGCTGTTCTCTGGAGAGTAGACCACACAGGACATTGAGCAATCCAGCCTGGCCAGTCAAAGAGTGGAAATACTTTAGGTTGAGTGATTTCTTTGTCCTTGTCCAGACATGAGTGCCACTTAGGGCCTGGAGTGTCAGGTTAGTTTTTAGTACCTGGAAACTACTAGAACTTCCAGAGCTAGGAATACACTGCGGAGAGCTGGAGATAAGAGCAGAGGGGAAGGACAACACTGATTTGAAAGTCTTAGACTGGAGTGCAGTTATTCTCATTAAAATTTGTTGGAAAAGGAGCATACATTTGTGCATCTTTAACCCTGTATTGACTGTTTTGGAGATGAATTTTAATTAAAAAAAAGTTGTATGCATGTGTTAGTGGGGTGCTTATCGTGTTTGTATGCATTTGTGTGTGTGCTCCGTGACTGAGAGGATGAGAGCATTTGATTTGGAATAGAACATAAAATGTTTAGTTTTGTAATCTTGCTTTTAACAGCATAATAAAATGCAGGGAAAGTGACATGGCAGGCTTTAGAATCTGATTCTGCAAAGTGAATTTTATGGCTGAACAGTGTGTTTCAGATTTGAGAAAAAAAATTTCATATGAACATTTCAAATGCTCTTTTCAATTTTTTTTATTCCCAAGGTCTGAAATACACTCAAATCTATTTACAAGCTATTTGCTCTAAAGAGTCCTAAGAAAAGTGTGTCGTTTATTGCTTGCCACACTTTCCCTTTTTGCATAATAAAAAATATCGTCCTCAGATGAATCAGTGTGACAGCATCTGAAAGAAATCCAGCTTCAATGTATGTTTGTTGTTTTAAAATCAAGTATTTAAGTGAGTCTTGGTAAAGGTTTTCTGTGTTTATTCTCCTGCTGGTCCCCTGTGTAAACTTCCAGACCATTATTCTTCCATCCTTACAGGTGCACCTTGTTCCTGCCCAAGGGGAGACCCTGGGTTGATGTGAAGAGCGTGACTCTGACCAGACCTACTGAACACATGATTGCCTCATGTGCTTGAACTCTGAAGTCACCTCTTACTTCTACTTGGATCTGGTGCACCTCAGGCACCTCACATGTAAAGTAGGTTGCTGTAAATTTAAAATATGATCAGTATATTATAAATTAAATAATTAATGTCATCTTTCATGATTGTACTCTTTTATTTGCTATGGGCTTATTTTCTGATAATTCTGTATGTAGTGGAAATGTTGACTTTTGGCTTATGTTTCTTTGTTCACCTATTACAATTATCTGTCACAATCTCAATGACAAACACATGTAGCTCATATAGTTGCAGGGCCAAAATGTTGGCTCTCTCCAATTCTGGCAACATCAAGAATCATCAAAAGTCAGATATTCATGCTGTACACCTACCATCAAGCTCATTGTCGCCTGGAACTTGACTCATCAAAAGCTCTTAAGTTTCGGTATTTGATTTGCAGGGTGCAACCTTCAGCTTCCATCTTACTTTGGACCTCCTTCTTATACACATGATTTGGCTTCAGTTTTTGAATTTTTCTTTCTTTTTCTTTCATGGATATTTCCTGACCAGGGTTCAATGTGTATCTCTGCATCAGTTGAACAACTCCTTTCACTGATTTCTCTACTGCACTATGACTTGCATTTGCATAGATGTGGATTTGGGTTCAAGGCCACAACATGCCTTTATTATTCCTTCACTGGTGCTGCTCCACGCTGCCAAAGAAATAGTGTCTGACCTCCAGTTCCCTTGGTCTGCAACCTCTCTAAGACCTTGATAATTAGTTCCCTCCTCTGTGCTAGTCTTCAGACAATACGATCACGCTGAATAGACCAATTCATAGATCTACCCATATCACCTCTCTGTAATTGTGCCTTTTACCACTTCAGCAAGAGCATCAGGGTAATCAGTTCTGAATCCTTTGAACTTTTCCCCAGCCACTAACTTAATTGCTTCTGCTCATGTGCCTCCCTTCTTTCTGTTCATACTCAGAAGATAATGCATTACTCCTTCAATGCGTGGTCAGTAGCATCTCTCCTTTCATAGCAGTATCAACGCGCTTCTGGGAGTACAAGCTCAAGTGTATGATGTACTACACAAACATACATATGCTTGCTTTTAATCCCTTCCCTTATTCCCCATAACACCATGGGATTAGCCATTCTCTTTATTCCCTGTGTTGCTGCTACTGTTCTCCATTTCGTAACCCATACTAAATAGTGTGTGTAGACTCATCCAGGCACTTAAAGAGAGTTCAGTGGTGCAGATGTGACATAGCAGTTTAATTCACAGCTTGAGATACTAGCATCCCATGTTGAGACATGGTTTGTGTCCCAGCTATTTTGCTTTGGATCCAGTTCCCTGCTAATGTGCCTGGGAAAGCAGCAGAAGATGGACCAAGTTCCTGTGCCCCAGCTGGATGGAGTTCCTGATTCACACCACCATAGGCATTGCTGTCATTTGAGGAGTGACCCAGCAGATGGAAGCTCTATTTCCCACTGTCTATCTCTCTTTGTTATTTTGCTTTCCAAATAAAACAAATCTTAAAAAATAAAGTCAGTGCAGTGTTGTTAGAGAGAGAGAGAGAGAGAGGCTGCATACAGAAGATAAAAGCCCAGGCCAGATGGGAAGATAGAAACTGTATGGTGCAATGAGAGGCGGACAGAATATAAGAGGACATCTTTTAAAGAGCAAATTCTAGAAGATGTAACGGAAATGGTCCATTTTGGATTGAGAAACTGCCTCAAAACCTCATTGTGGGGTGGCAGATGTTTTGGCTCAGTGGGTTAAGAGAGTCTCTCCAATAATCCTGGTATACAAGAACTGCTTTAAGTTCCTACTGCCTCACTCTGGTCCAGCCCCCTCCTAATGCACCTGTGAAGGAAGCAGAAGATGGCCTGCCTCCTGTACTCAAGAGGGAGACCTGGATGCAGTTTCAGAGTTTCAGGCTCTGCCTTCTGTCTGGCCGTTGTGGTCCCTAGGGCAGAACTAGCAAATGGAAGTTTCTTCTTTTTTCAGTCTCTCCATCTCTTTCTGTACTTCTGACTTTATAAATAAATAAAGCGGACTCTCATTTTTTTTAAAAAAAGGATTTATTTATTTTTATTTGAAAGGCACGTTTACCATTGAGAAGGGGAGATAGAGAAGATCTTCCATCTACTGCTTCACTCTCCAAATGATTGCAATGGCCAGAGCTGTTCAGCTAATTCAAAACCAGGAACCTCTTCCAGGTCTCTCATTTGGGTGTAGAGGCCCAATGGCTGGGGCCGTTCTTTGTTGCTTTCCCAGGCCGTAAGCAGGCAGTTGGGTGGGAAGTGGAGCAACTGCAACGCAAGCCAAGATTTATACAACCTCCCACGTTTGACATCACCTCATCCAATAGTGTAATAATATGAATATGAGACTCAAGTGTGCGTAAAGTGGAGAGAAGCACAATAAGAAAGCAACACAGTCACAGACTTCAATATTCTGCCCTAATAATTTTCCAAGTGTTTTTGAGGGCTTCCAGAATCATCTGTTACTGGCATATAAACTTTCCATAACCCCTGTTAAGAGCAAAAATCTTAGAAAAGTTTAATGAGCAAAAATTGATACATGAATCAGGCAACCCTTAGAATCATTTACTAACCATACTACATTTCGTCTGTTGAATGTTGAAACACTATGTAATTTCCTCATTGTTATGTGGCAAAGTGGACCACCTTCACCTCTTTGAGCTATGGAAACTTACTTCTGCAGTATCAATTAGTTGTAAATGGAATTAAACTGTTAGGGAGATTCAGGTACCATGGATTATATTTAAATCACAGACCTTACCATTTGTATGAGTTTGAATCTTCACTTAGTGAAAGTAACATGGCTGGAAGACTTTCCCTTTCCATACCCTCAGAGTTAATGTTTTTGAGTCTCATGATACAGGGCTGACTAGTTTCCGAAAAGAAAAAAAGAATAAACCTGTATTAGTAATTTATCATTCTTGACACTTTCCTTTCGGTTTAATTACTGAGCAACAGAACTGACACTTCATAAAAGTAAGAAGCAGTTTCAAAAATGCTGAAGGAAAATCACCTTATAAGAGAACTGGGAAGCTGTAAGACACACCTGGCCACACCCATCATTTTATTCGGTTGCTGAATTTCAAAGCATATCATCATGAAACTTTAAAAGGAATGGGACTAAAGAAGAGTAATGTTCTGATAGCCAGTAAGACGTCTGTTTCAGAGACCCCAAAATAGCTTTAATATTAAAGGTAATTTCCGTCCTGTTCACATTGGGGTCATAAGCTACAATGTGGCCAAAAATTCAGAGGAACGCTGTGCTGTTTTCCAGTAATTCATCTAATTTCAAATATTCCAAAGTCAAGTTTTTGTTCTCTTTTTGCCTAATCTAAGAATGAGCCCAGAGCACAAGAGCTTGGATGAGCAGAATCCGTTGCACAATACAGAGCTGATAGGACCAGGAGCTACCCCTTGGCCCCTGAATCTGTCATCTGTTCTGATGCTCCCAACTCATTTCTTCTATTAATTTTTTTAAAAAAAGAAGTTCTGAGTCTCCAGCTAACAGGCTCCTATTAAAGCATCATTAACTAGTCTGATAACAAGGTCCTCTGAGTGTAGGGCAAGAATAGGATTAGAGGATTCTTCAGAAAGATGATTAAGGGATAATGAACCTTATTTAACCTTCTGTCACATAGTGGGTGCCTTTCCTGGGACTTCTGCGAGCATTTTTTTTGTACAAATATTTCAGAATTCTGTGACTTGGGTACAAATGAGGCAACTAAAGCACAGAGAGGTGTAGTGATCTACCTAAAGACACACGGCTATTAACAACAGGTTAAGAGTGACAAGGTGTCTCTCTGACCACATAGCAGTACTAAGCCCCATGTTATATAGTGAGAAAATCTTAGATCATTTTAATGAATGATAACAGCAATACTCCCTTTAAAGGCCTGGAGAATTTAAACATTTATTGAATGAGATAGTAATGATTTAACATGATTTTCTGGTAAAAAATAAAAGTGAAGATCCCATTGAAATAAAATGGAGCATTTCAGATTAAATACCCCTGGAAAGATAACAAAACAATATTCTTGAAGAGTAAGAAATAAAAGTATTGTTTACTAAATTAACACTAGGAATGACTGCATCAAAAACCTATGGACCCAACAACAAAGGATGTGGCTTAGATGTGGCAAGAAAATGACACTCAGGAGACAGAAATCAATTTCCATTAATCAAATTTTATGGATTAAAAAAATAAGCACACTAGATAAAAGGTAGAAGTTAATGGGATTTTGAAGCAGTTTGATAGCTATTTAAAAGCATTCAAGGTACACAAAGGCAAAACAGTGGTACGATTTAGGAAAACAATCAAAAGCATAATGATTACTAGAATTGAAGGCTGTGGAACTAAGCATCAGTTAAACAATGAAGGCATTTATTAATGTCTGTTTAAATGCTCACCATTTTGATATCTTTTGACACTAACCCCCTTCAAAAATATACCAAGAAGTGCACATGTGTGCAATGCACTGGGAGGTTGGGTTTTGTGCAACAGGCAGAGGTAGAAGGAAAAATCACCAATCCTCTCCTTGGGACTACAAAACCTGTTGAAGCAATAGATACATATGAGAGCAATTCAAAAAATATATGTAAAATGAAGCGAAAAGAAACATTTATGTTGATGCAAAAATGTTTGAAGTACATTTATGGGAGGACTTTCCAAAATATTCAAGGAAAATATGAAATCCATCCCCCCCAAAATTACTGCACAATAATTTCTTTTTTTTTTGCACCAAAGTATTTATCTTTTTGAAAAGGTTTATTTTATTATTGCAAAGGCAGATATACAGAGAGCAGCAGATACAGAGAAAAAGATTTTTTGTCTGCTGGTTTATTCCCCAAGAGGCCACAATGTCTAAAACTGAGCTGATCCAAAGCCAGTAGCCAGGAGCCAAGAGCCAGGAACCAAGAGCCATGAGTGTTTCCTGGGTCTTCCACATGGGTGCAAGGTCCCA